GCATGGATATCTTCATCCTCTTCATCCTGTGGAATGGATATTCCATTAAGGTCAAGCTCTTCTTCGTCTATCCAATCTGCACTCTCTCCATTTTCTTCGTTTGCGATTACACGTTGCCGACGTGCCGCGACTCTCTGTGGCCTGATGCGTTTGGGCGGAATAATAATCGATTCCTGCTTGTGTGTTACAGAGTGGCTGCGCAGCATCACTAACGACGCAAAGTATGTGTGACATTTCTTGCAAATCCTATCGCTAAGCACGGATTGTATTGACGGACAATGCAAGTCATATGGAATCGACCGATAACGATTTGAAGAGCGAGGAAGGATGTCATCCACTTTCAAACTTTGTTCTGCAAACAGAGATGGGAATTCATGAGATGCTCCGTCTGTTGTACGTTCTGGAATTTTAAGACCTTCGCTTGTTTGAACAACTGGTAAAGGAGGAGGAAGAAATCTGTCTGTTACACAAAAAAATAGGAGTTTCTTGGTTTCAAACAGCACTTCTTGTCGGTGCATTTTACAATCTGTGTCAAGTATTGGCTTGTTCGTAGGTGAACGTCGTACCATTTCTGATCCCTGGACCAGGGGCGGTTTCTTCATTAGGGCGATTGGGCGACGCACCACCAATGTCATTGAACCACAGAGTCACGCTAGCCGTCACTGTGTCTCTAGATATAGTCCAATCAGCGTCATGTCACGTTCTGTGGAGTACCGCCTCTTTTTGGGCGATTTCACTCCGGCTGAGAATCGCCCCGAGTGGCCCCATAGACTTACATTCAAAGATGTTTTTTTTCGAACGGCGGGCGCTCCAATGCATTCTCTATGGCTTCCGGGAGGGCTTGCACTAACGTGCTTACGTCATCATACGTGCTAACGTCATCATACGTAAGCACGTTTCATCCAACAATATAATTTATCGCCACCTAGTGGAATCTTTAATAAAATAAACTTGAGTGGTTTGTTTTAATAGTGAGTATAGAAACAAACAAGATGTATTGTAAGAGTCACTTTATTTTTCATTAATATTAAAGAAGTGAAGTTGCCTTTACATGCTTAAGCTGTTAATTTATCCATTGCATGGGTGGACCTTATTCTTATCAATCATCCAGACATTTGCCCCCCCTGAGAGATTTTGCAGGAGCCGCCACTGCCCTGGACAAGAGGTTTTATTCCTAGAGCTCAGACTCTGTTGGCTCGATGTATTCAGCCACTGTCGGAAAATTATCGACAATGAACTGTGACCAAATTTCGGTTAGAGTGTTTCTTGCAAACTTAAAATAGTTTTTCTCTAAATTTGCGTCGATGGTAATACCTCTTTCGTTAAAATGACTACCATAGTGGTCACGTGGTAATATCAATCCAGTAAGTTCCTTACTGGGTGGCGCCATTTTTCTCTCGACCCTATTAAATGCGCTTCTTCCTGGAGCGTTGGTAACGAGGAATAAAGCGTCGAAATCGTGCTGAAAAAAGTGGTGGACTGCAACCTTAATCACTTTTTGGTATCTCGGGTTCTCGTCCGGGCCACCATCAACTGTCGACACAAAAATTGGTTTTACCAATCGATCAATACCACTGTTTATAATGACGTCAAACTCCTCGAGGATAAGCAATTTTTAAATCCTTTATTAAATCCTTTATATTAAGTTCGCGTGCTTGCTTGCTTGCATGCTTGCTTGCTTGCTTGCTTAGGACCGTGCAAATCTTTCGGTCGTTTTTTTAATCCACTTCCCGTGATCCAATCGAGCTGACATTTTCCACACAGACTCGTTGTGCCAGACAATTATTGTTCGTGAAAAATAATTCCCAAAATTTTACACTTTTTAGGCAAAAAATAATTATTTTACATATATTCAAATAGAACGCATTCATGGCTTTGGCTGAACGTCAGAGTGTAAGAGCCCAGAGCGTAACCCCTCCACAGGCCGTGGCGGAGTAGCGCAGTTGGTAGCGCCCTTGCTTCCCATGCCAAAGGTCGCGGGATCGATCCCTGCGTCCTCCACAGGCGAATATATTTTTAAATCCTTTATATTAAGTTCGCTTGCTTGCTTAGGACCGTGCAAATCTTTCGCTCGTTTTTTAACCCACTTCCCGTGATCCAATCGAGCTGACATTTTCCACACAGACTCGTTGTGTGACAATTAATTTTCGTGAAAAAAAAATCCAAAATTTTACTATGTTTAGGGAAAACAAATTAAATATTTAATTACCATTTGCTTAATGGTGGCAGACAATCATCTGACCCATAGGTGGCAGCCATCTCAAGCCAGAGGACGAGAGGACTCTAGCCGCCACGCATATAAAGGATTTATAGTGAAAAACTTTGTTTTTACGGGTTTACTTGTATTAAGTTTGCTTGCTTGCTTGCGTGCTTGCTTGCGTGCTTGCTTACTTGCGTGCTTGCTTGCTTGCTTAGGACTGTGCAAATCTTTCGGTCGTTTTTTAACCCACTTCCCGTGATCCAATCGAGCTGACATTTCCCACACAGACTCGTTGTGCCAGACAATTATTGTTCGTGAAAAAATTCCCAAAATTTTACACCTTTTAGGCAAAAAAAAATTATTTTACATATATTCAAATAGAACTCATTCATGGCTTTGGCTGAACGTCAGAGAGTAAGAGCCCAGAGCGTAACCCCTCCACAGGCCGTGGCGGAGTAGCGCAGTTGGTAGCGCCCTCGCTTCCCAGATGGAAGTGAATTTGATTAATGGAAAATCAAAAACGGACCGACATGATTTGGTGGCAAGAATTTTCCAGCAGAAGCTCATCAAATTCATGAATGTTCTCATCAAAGGCGAAGTTTTTGGCTCGATTAAATATTGGCTTTATTCCGATGAGTGGCAAAAAGAGATCTTCCACATGCACACATTTTTATTTGGTTGACGAATGGACTCAAATAAAATCGACGACATCATATCTGCTGAAATTCCCGATCTTGACACCGATAAGAAGCTTCACGACATCGTCATTAAAAACATTGTACATTTTCCTTGAGGCACTTTGAAGTGGCAGTCTCCATGCATGAAGGATAAATTGTGCAGCAAGACATTTCCGCGTCAATTCATCAAATAACTCAAACATTAACAGATGGCTACCCATTGTATCGTCGCCGTGAACCTGAAGACGGTGGACAAACGACAACCATCAAAATGAAGTTGGAGGATGTGGAAATTGATAATCGCTGGATCGTTCCATGTTGTCCTTTGCTTCTAAAAATGTCCGATGCCCACATCAACGCTGAGTGCTGCAACTCAGTTAAATCGATTAAATACATCTTCAAGTATGTCCACAAGGGATCCGATCAAGGAGTTTTTACTACGACACGTAACAATGCCGAAATTTATGAGATACCAAGCAGTCCGGTACATCTCCAGTAATAATAATAATGCATTTTTCGATTTAAAGCTTTCGTGACTGCAGGGATTCATCTTCTTGGTTCTTTCGGTAAAGTCACGTAGAAGGGAAGTAATAAAATAATAAAAATAATTAAAACATAATAAAATAATTCTCACGACGTTTCGGCCACAACGCAAGTAGCCGTCCTCAGGTGAAACCAGGTCTGTCGAGGTGACAGCGTCTGAATGAAACAGCACGTGCATGGAGCATATATATAAGCTGGGTTGGAAGGGGGGGGGGAAGGGGGCGCCTTGACAAAATAATTTGCATATCAAGAGGAATCCAGCATACCCATGGGAATTGCAGGTATCATTATTGTTGAGCCGATCCGGCCTCCCTTGTTCTGCTCTCTACTGGACTGAGCTAGTACTGCCCGCTACAAGTAGTGGCGATCGTGGCCAACCCTGCCACTAAACATGCGTCGCGCCTCAAACTGTTTTGTCCGCAGGATAACGCGCATTCATCTCAATCCCTGGGGGCTATATCCGGGGCATGCATTCACGGGAACAATTTCTCAGAGATGCTCCGCCTCTTCTCCCTCAGGGTTCCAGCTACTGAGGTCTGGAGAGCTGCCAACCTCGTCACCAGTTTTGGCGCGAGTCAGGGGTGGACAACCTTCGTCGCCTGGAAGGGGGCCGCGGCCCTCGGGCCAACCTAGTCACACGCCGGAAACACCCACGGAGGCCTCCCCCAACCCGGCGGGGGGCACGGCGATGAGGACGCGCTCGAAAACTGCCCATTTCTATTAACTCTCGCCAGCACGCCGCCATTCACGCACACCATCGATTGGCGGTCTCGCTCGCGAGCCGGGGGCGGACTGGGGGCAGACCAGGCTCTTGTGTTGTTGTTGGGGCACATCGTTCGAGGTTATTGTCACACTTACCATTCACGTTACATTGGGGGGGTTTTACAGCTGGGTCGGCTGTAATTTATAAAGGGGGTGTAGTGTAGAGACACAGATGCCTCCGCGGGTCGCACGATCTAAGGGCACGTGACCGGAAACGGTGCTCGATTGGACGAGCTAGGGGCAAGTGACCGGAAGTGGGCTTGATTGAACTCAAGGGCATGTGACCTGAAGCGGGGTCTCGATTGGACGAGTAAGTGGTTCCTTAAGTTCATGCATAATCTTAATTATAAGAATTTGTCAGGTCTAATCATAACAATTGACTGATTACCAATCTATTATATAATTACAATACCCCCCCCCCACCCCACCTGAAATCGTCGCACCGGCATGGGTCAAATGATGACGTCACCCTGCTGCTCTATTTAAGAACGGGAGCAAGTGAGGGCTTCACCATTCTGGCGAATTGCCCGATGATGCTGGATGTAATTATCAGCGAAACGTCGTACTCAAAAACTGTAAATCTTGTGGATTCACTCTTGAACACACCGGTGGGCTAAAGTAGTGAACTATTTGTCTTTTGTCAACGTGACACTTTTTTGCTGATTGACCGTGTCTGGTGGTGGAGGGTTACAACGCATTTATAAATAACGCGATCTAACCCAAAAACGTTTATGAATAATATTGGTCACGAAAGCCTACGTGTTAAGCAGGATACAGTTCTTATAATTAAGATTGAACTTACGAAGAAACCACTCAGACTCTTCTATGTTAAGAAACTTTAATATCACTCTAATATGCGAACACACTTATGATCGGAATTGTCAACACCATACTCCTGAAGATGTCCTACTCATTGATCCGTACAATTAACCCTCAATGGTTACGTTTGTTAAAACTGAGTAACAGAACAATCGCCTAACTCCTCAGAGTAGCGCGACCATACACTGCGTTAGGAAAACGTGCTAAAGAAATATTTGCCCAATGGCAAAAGTAGACAATTAATTAATTGGTAAGATTATGATTTTAACGAAATGTCCTGAAACAAGTGTGCATGATAGTTGTGCCTGTTTGGCTAACAGATGCTTATTAATTGGCTAATCTAACATCGATGAATTCGTGGGCAAGATTCTGTGATCAAAAGAAAACGAATAACTAAAATACTTTTAAACGACCGTATTCATGTAACTCAAGGGACAAAACAATGCTTTTCACGATGAACTAATAGTTAACGCACCACCTTAGGATGGCAACTCTTTTCGAAAGACAAAGATAACTTTTTGGAACAATCTTATCAGTACCAATATGCGCGTTGTGTGTTGTCTTCTTGCTAACTGTTGAGCTAGCGGCTTCCGAGGTGCAGCGCTGGGTCGGCGTGTGTCGAACACACGGTGCTCTCAGCTGTATCGTCAAGTCTCTCTCCACCACTGGGATGGTTGCTGAGTCGGCACATTGGTCACGCTGTCGGCGGTACCTGTGCTGGCAGGGATGTTGGGCCCGGCTTTGTCTACGTCAATGTGCGCAATGATCCCGTCGCCAGACAGCGCACGCAGCTCGTCCGCTGGTTGCCGCGCGTCACCCCCCTTGGCACCAGACACTGTTGATCCTTGTAGACTGGACTCTGGAGAGACAACGCCTGTCGTCTCACCCCCCCCTCTTCAAGAGTCCTCTTCCAGTTGTCTGTACGACTTGTGCTGCAGAGGGCACGCTACAGATCAAGTTATATCATTCCGTGTTAGTCTCTGATCCAACCGTAAAACTAAACTTTGCCTGTGGGTTGCAATTTAAAGGGGACTCTCATGAATAGTGGTTGCACGAGTTTTTCCTCGAAGGGTTGACTTTGATCTGAGCACAATCATAACGATTGTCACTCTATGATCGCATGTGTTGGCTATAAACAGCGACCTCGCCCCGGGAATAGTAATGCTACAGCACTTTTCCCCACGTTTGTATTGTAATACTACGAGTACCAGCCTTGGCTGGCAGCCTCTCTCAATGACACAATCCTTTTTTAAAAACTCTCAGTGATGCGTGGCTTCTGCCGATGCAGGGCTCCCTATCAATCTTGCCAGTCACGAGGGTAATCCCCGGAGCCTGCCACTCGCAGTACTTGATTTCTGTTCTTATGTTCTTGATTATATCTGAATTTTTCCACCTCAGGCTCTTTCTTCTCACAAAGGGGCAGCTGTTTTCCTTTTGAAGTCGCTTAGGCTGTTTGTTGCCCGGATGTCTTTATTACAGCCATGTTTCCGTTCACGTTTTGGGCAGCGTTCCCCACGCTCCAATCACGGGTTGGCAGTGTTACATTTTTTTTACCTCAACACGTGCAGTCTCTCTCAAAAAGGGGCGCTGTGGCTTTTGAAGTCGTGACCTATTGTGCACAGGTGTGCTTGCTATTGCCATGTTTTCCGTCCTCTCATCACGTGTTGGAAATTTTTAAAATAATTTTACACCTCTTACAGCTTGGTACCGTACAACTTCCCGCAGTTTTTACTCTGCAAGCGACTCTAAGTACGTTTTGAGCAGTGTTCACAGCACTCACGTCGCGGTTTGGAATTCTTGTGTGGTATTTGATGTTAGGGGGAGGCGCCCCCTGCATACGTAATTTACTGTGCTGTTAGCTAGTGGAAAATAAAGGGGTTGGTGAGTCTGATCCCGTGGAATACATATTATATCTTGGTCGTGTGTGATTGACATATTTCGCATTGTATCTCTTCTGAATGACCCTAGGTCTAATACTTTCATAATTATTTGGTTCATGCTTAACCAAAATTCGTGGACTACCATAGTTGTTACCAAAGATATTCCGAGAGTTTTATTTACCTTTGTTCCCCGTCTGTATCGCCAGGGATCCGTGCTTATTCTCAAGTTAGATTTTGATATCCTGAGGTTGAAGATATAGCTAAGCTTCCAACTTTACTGTTGTATTTTTAAAATCCCAGTCAGCTCTTAATGATGTACTGCCATTGGGTGGATTTCACTGTCCAGGGAGGTTCGTGACCCCTGCTGTTTCCATCTTATGTTTGTTTTGTGGGTTATTTCCTTCTCTTGAAGTCAACTGGGGATTTCCCGCAGAATTTCATTCGCCCCCCCTTGGGTTTGCCAGTTTTTGTATTAAATGTTATGACTTCCCAAGCAGACTTGTGAGAAATTATCCCCCAGCTGTCTTTTGTGGCAAGGTAGGAGGCAGGGGTACTCATCCTTTCTGTGTCCCAGCGCTACATCCTGATCTAAATAAATTTTAAAAAAAGGCAGAATCAGTCTTAACATATATTTTTGGAAAAGGCATATATAAAACATGCTCTTCGAGTGTTTGTGATGAGATATGATACGAAACTCCGAGTAGCTTTGAGGCAATTAAGCAAGCACAATATGAATGCTAATATTATTATAACATAGTTAATTCTTGGGAGCTTATTGGCTCTCGCTCCTGGTTAGAGATCTACCAAACCCACAGGTCCACAAATACTGTCCGTGCTTACTCTGCAGGTTGAACCTAGGAATTGAGTGTTCAACTTAACGTTATTTTCATTAAAGGCCCGTGACAAAGGTGATCCTATTGGAGCTTCATTGTCTCAAGCTTACACATCTACAGGGTCTCCATTTTACTTTGTATTGTCTAAGAAGTCCACCCACACCTCCACTTCCACAAACTGCTGGGAGTTGCCTCGCTCTGCTTCACAGTCAGAATTCTCCTCCTGCTTCACGTTGCCTCCATCGATGTCAAGGTCCGATTTTGGAGTTGAATCTTCATATTCACATTTTACCTTCACTTCTTCACTCTTCACTGTCTCCTCTTCACATTTCACATTTGCCGCTTCATATTTCACCTTGATACCTTTTAAAGTTTCCAAGCTGGAATTTTCTTCTGGTTCTTGTTTCAGGAGGGATGGGCTCATTGCAGCACTTTGACTTTCACAAGTCGATTTCAGACTACACTCCTTGGGGATCTTCTGATGCCTGTGTGTTATCTGGTGTTTTTGAAGAATTGATGAACGTGAAAACACCTTCCCGCACACAGTGCACTTGAACGGTTTCTCTCCTGTGTGTGTTCTCTGGTGTATTTTAAGATAAAATGAACTTGAAAATGCCTTCCCACACACACTGCACTTGAAGGGTTTCTCTCCTGTGTGTGTTCTCTGGTGTTTTTTAAGAAGTGATGAATCTGTAAATGCCTTCTCACACACAGTGCACTTGAAAGGTTTCTCTCCTGTGTGTGTTTTATGGTGTTTTCTAAGATTTGAAGACTGTGAAAATGCCTTCTCACACACACTGCATTTGAAGGGTTTCTCTCCCGTGTGTGTTCTCTGGTGGCTCTGGAGATCTTTTGACTGTGCAAATGCCTTCCCACACAGAGGGCACCTGAAGGGTTTCTCTCCCGTGTGTGTTCTCTGGTGGCTCTTAAGATATGATGACTTTGCAAAAGCATTCCCACACACACTGCACTTGAAGGGTTTCTCTCCTGTGTGCGTTCTCTGGTGTATTTTAAGATGTGATGAATGTGCAAACGCTTTCGAGCACAAAGTGCACCTGAAGGATTTATCTCCCATGTGTGTTGTCTGGTGTATTGTAAGATATGATGACTGTGCAAATGCCTTCTCACACACAGTGCACTTGAAAGGTTTCTCTCCTGTGTGTGTTCTCTGGTGTCTTTTAAGTTTTGATGACCATGCAAATGCCTTCTCACACACAATGCACTTGAAGGGTTTCTCTCCTGCTTGAGTTCTCTGGTGCTGTGTCAAATTTCCAGTACGATCCGTGCTGTTTGCATACTGGTCGCATTGTTTCCTTCTACCGAGCTGCGCCGAGTGCCTTCGCTCCATCAAATCAATTCTGCAGAGGAAGCGTCAGAGGAAGTATCAGCTGCAGACAGAAAAACATATCCACACCATCTACGTCAGTATCGAGGCACAGAGGAATTAATATATACACATTCACACATGACTTACACGTCTAAACTTATTCATATATTCATGATATAGTGAAAAAGATTCCCCAATTCATCACACGGGCTGTTAAGGCACACAATGAGAGGGCAAATGGTCATAAATATGCCTGGATGCCCTAGTATCTTCAAAATGAATGTTTACTCAAAACTCTAGTCACACAATTTCGGCTGCCTAGCTACGAAAGTAATATTTATTTAAGAAAAATTCAGCTAACATAGGAAAGGGTGTTGAAAATAATACTACTTGTATTATGCAGAAATGCATAAATTAATGTTCAACCGAAACTTCAAGGTGTGAAGCCAGGCTCAGATTTGCTTGAATGCTCGGATGAACAGATCTAACTTCAGCTGCGTATGTGCCGAGATATTTTCCTGACTGTTTCCATTATTATAAAAAGTTCCAGAGGAAAACTATTGTTTGATTTAACCTCCATGTTCAATAGTTAATATACATTACTGAAAATACAAACTTGACAATGTCACACACTGGCATGAAAAAAGGTGGTGATGTGTCCAAAACTATGCCTGGCCACCTTCATCTGCTCAGTAATAATGCTTCCTCACTTCAATCAACATAGCAGAGGCCCACAATAAGTTCAGCTTTGATTTACACTATGTAACACGATTTTTGTCCCTGGGTAGCAAGTGTTATTTTTTAATTGGTTATGCCTAAAAAGTATAGAAACATTGCCATTATTCCCCACAAACTTTGCTCTTGTGACCAGGACTTCACGTGAAGGAATGACACAAATGCACATGTTTTCTCATTGGAAATAGGCAAATTACAAAATATCACTCTCCTGGTCACAAAAGCAAATTCTGTGGGGTATAATAGCCATTTTTTGTACTTTTGAGGCATAAGCAATTAGAAAACATTTAATACCCAAGGACAATTTTTTTTGTTACAGTGTAATCAATCATGTTTGCTGTCAGAGATAATCTAAATAATTGTTGAGTCCATAATGCAGTGAAATAACTGCGCAACAGCTCCCCACAAAGATAAACTCTTAGACACATACATTTCACATGGATCATTAACATATTATATAAACAAAACATCCACCATTCATGACGAATTGGAAGTAACTTTATCACAGTGCTAATGCCATGATAGGTGCACTTTAAGGCTATGTAAGTATGGATTCCTTGTCAGCAGATAATAGGAATGATCCAGGTGTCAAGGGATGACTGACAGATGAAAAAGCTGTGCTCCCCTTTGTTTTGCTGGGTATTAGGAACCCAGCGTTCCACCCATTCTGTGAGTGTCACTCATCCGACCTCATCGTTGTTGCAACGCAAATATATCGTAACTGCCCTGCAGCATACCTCAGAGGCCTCCTCCACAGAGGCCAATATTGACACTACTGATACCAGTCATTGGCGGTTCCGATCACCTCCACATCCTCCAATCTCTTCTCTAGCCAATGCCATGCCTGTTTAGCCCGTAATATCTGAAATAACAGAAGCTGCTTGAGCACGCGGTAACAGATCTGCCTTATGTTCACGAACACGGTCCGAGACACGTCGCTTAGTTTCCCCAATGTAACTACTGCCGCAGACACAGCTTAGTTTGTAGATGCCGGGATATTGCGTGTCAGGGATCACATCCCAATGAATATTAATTCGTGCAGTCACAAAAGCTTTAAGTCAAGATTTAACTGTACCATGGTTCAGCTGCCCACAATTAATGACCATCCCGAGCCTATTCATGTGTTGATACCTGCCAACACTACCTATGCAAGCCACCAATTCCAAAACAACAATAGGAGATAGAACTCATGCTTCAAAATGGCATGTTTTGGCACTACCTGATGACCTACCTACATTAGCAAAGATCTATTTGCGTGTCTTTCGATACTAGACAGGCTCACCAGCATTGCAAAAATGTCATCAACACCAAGATGCAAGTCCTATTGTTGCGGCAAGACATGCTCCATAAGGTAAACTCTTGTGTTTACAGTTTCAAGTATGCCATGGAGAAGATGACTTCAGAGTAAAATGTTGTCATTCATGCCAACTAAACTCTACATGGTCAACATGAGTGCCGCTTAAATGCACTCACAATATCTGAAGTCGCTGTCATTCTGACTGCTGAACAACATGTCACTCGAGGCATCGTCTTGCAACTGAGGAATAATACCCTACACAGAAATGAAACACACCGATCCTATGATGTTCTTCAATGTATACTGATTTTCTGGCAAGGTGATGATGGCTACAATTTCCTAGTTCGCCAAACTGACCCAGCAACAGGCTTGCCAACAAAAGATTTCTGCCATGGACTTCTTTGCCTTCAGGATTATGGTGCGAAACGGCAGCTTCAATCTCTTTTTGAGATGCAAAGAGCTCTTCCACCAAATTGCTGTCGACATGTATGCCAAAATGAAAGCTTCATTCGATTAAACCCACCAGATGGCAAACATCCAACATTTCTTATCCTGAAGCTCTCCAAGGGAAACGAATTTAAAAGCTGTCCTCATTATGAAACAACGCGATGTGATTGTATAACACAAAAAAAAACCGTGACAATTGACACATACATTTACAGACTTCACTGGCAGAATTCAATAATTCTAATAAAGTCAGCATTACAAGGCATTACTTTTAATGTTTGATTACTGAGACCTGTGCGAAGCCGGGTAACTTAGTTATCCCTGAACAAAAACTATACTTTCGATGATAATGTTTGTGCACGAGTGGGGAGCGGTAGTGCAAAGGTTAGTGTTGCGCTATAAACCAAGTGACCTGATTTATAGTCCCACAGAGCCAAGCCACAAAAATGTGGCTGTCGCCTGATGAAGCTGGTTGTAATTACTGGCAAAACGTCATACTCAAGATTGTAAATGTTGTGGCTTGGCTCTCCAACACACGGGTTTAACGACGCATTTATATATTCACGCGATCTAACCCAAACAAACCTGTATTACGGATGTATATTTGGAGTTTGCGTGTCTCTCTCCCCGTGGTCGCGTTTTTCTCTGGATCCTCCGGTTTTTCCCTGCACATTAAGAGTCAACATCGCCACGCGTTTAGAGTATTTGACCGATATACATTTCCACACGTTGATAAGCCACTTTGTTGTGGGCAGGTCGCTTCTGAAAGAGCGGTATAGCAGCTGAAGTGGGCATGGCCTGGTAAAATAAAATAAAACTCTAGAAATATTTAAAATAAAAAAAAGCTTCAAAGTAGTGAGCCAGGTGAAGACAAATTAAACTTAAGCCGAGAATTAAAGCAAATGCGATCAGGCGAGGGCAGGTGGCAAGCCCCCGCATCGCTAGGCCCCGCGTTATAATGTTCCAACCTGGACATCGATTCCATACTCGCTGCTACTCAATTGATATCTCTACGAAAGAGAAGGAGCGAGGCTCTACCTGGGTAAACAACAACAACCACCACGATGTAAACTTCTCACCTCGGATCTCAGTGAGCGCGCGCGCAGAGCAGCAGCTTCCTCGTATATCGTGACGTCACGCGACAGCAGGTGACATGACGTCACTTGCGGTACTGGAACGAAATTCGGCAATGACAAAGGGCCCTCCGTCAATGACGTCACGCACCTTGGGTGGGGAGGGGTGTCAGTCATGTGACGATATGTGACGAGAGAGGGGGGTTTAAGAAATGTGACGTCACATCAAAATAAGCAACTTTAAGTAAATATAAACAACACGTTCAACTTAATTAAATAGGATTGTTATAACACAAATTTTTTAAAATAAATTTTCATTATTAACTTTTTGATTATTTACATGTATTAAGGTCACCTTTTATTTATAGTATAGCTTATATTATAATATACGGCAGTAAACGACTGAAATAATAAAGCAATGCTGCGCAAAGGACACCTTAGACCTGCAACACATTTGTATTTCACTTTAGCCGCGGAGGGTTGGGGGGTGCGTGACATGAGCAGGCAAACTGGGCAAAGCTTCTGCACTCGGGACACATGACAGAGATGTGACGTCACAGCTCACTTGCCGTGCAAAAAATATGCATTATTGCACCGAAGCCCCTCCCCCCCCCATTTAAAAAAACAATTTGCACGGTGTACAGTCTGGAAAATTTCAAGTTTGTTGCATGTCAGGAAGTACGCTCAACATTTTGACAGACACACATTCACAAATGTCCCTTTTATATACAGTATATAGATAATACTTTGTCAGGAAGAGGAAGTGCAAATAAATGTGGAAGAGGTATGTGGATGACACTTTCGTCATCTAGCCACATGGCCTCCCAGCATTGAACCACTTCTTGGACCACATCAATTCTAGACACCCATCCATCAGATTAACCATGGAAGTGGAGAAAGACGGTAAACTACCATTCTTGGATATTCTGTTTGAGAGGAGGCCTGACAGATCCTTGTGTTGTATCCTAACCCTTCTTCCATAATTGAGATTAATAATATTTGATGATTTTTATATATTATCTTTTTACTTGTTTTTTTTTAATGAGTGAAACACACCAAAGCGCACCAAACTGCAAAACACCAGGTGTTGTTAAGTAATGAACGAGAGGAGGGCTAGGATGACAGAATTTGCAACCTTGCTTCAAGGCAAAGGCAGTGAAAGAAAGCAAAGGCGCCTTTGTCTAAGTCATAACCACAGAAAGCCAGGAATCATCACTGATTGTGTGTTAGGGATTCCGAGCTAATTAGAACACGTGCACACAGAAAGGGAGGTAGAAGCACGCCTTGTTCTCCTGCAGCTGAGGAAACAAGATAAACCCAAAAAGGCCTTGGACCTGAATTAAGAATAACATTCCCAGAGCAG